GGTTTAGTGGACACAGGCCTGCGCTGCACTGCGCAGGTACTGAGTTCGATTCCCCATTGCACAGGAGGCAGCCTGTGCATGTGTCTGTCACACTGCGACAGATCTGGTTCCAGGCCACATAAGAAGACCTGGTAGTTGGTACAAATTAGATACGACGCTGTTTGGGTTTAGGGTTTAGAGGAGACAGGCCTGAGCTGCACTGCGCAGGTACTGAGTTCGATTCCCCAATGCACAGGAGGCAGCAGTGTGCGGATGTGTCGCAGTGTGAGAGATCTGCTTTCAGATCAGATCAAGAGAACAGGTACGAATCGTACGACATTATGGTGCCTTGCTCCACTGCACAACATTTCAAATCTATCTGGACGTGTATTTTGTCGCAATGCATTCAAAATGATCGATCAGTCGGACTGTATTGAAACGGTTTTCACCTTTTAGCAGTAGCGGATGCAGTACCCAGGGCTCGATCCCTAGACCTCACCCTACCCATGTACAGTATCTGTGTAGACCCCGAGAGTTGAACCTGTGACCTGTGTATTCGTAGACAGTTGGTAGGCCTGTCGTAGGTCCATAAGCAGCAGGGGTTCGATCTGTAGGTCTATAGAGTAGAAGTCTTAGCAAGTTCCAGAAGTCTAGCTGTAGTCCTTCTAGAAGGTCGGCAAGTGGGCAAGTGGTCAAGCGGCGAGGCAAGTGGTGGACTAAACTGCAGTGCAATCGCAGTACGACGACGGTAGGATAGCAGTAAGTCCACAGTCAGTCAGCGGTAAGGTCCAGTCAGTCCCAGTCCGGTCCAGCAAGTACCACGGGGGACTGTGAGCACCATGGGCCGATGGCAAAGGGCAGACCAACGAGTTTCTGAAGTATAAATCAAGAGGCAGCGCCCAGCCTTTCATTCATTCCTGCGTGAGCCATGCGGAAGCGCTGACTTAGCGACTTGTGCAAAGAGGTCTGCAGTGAGCCTGGAGGACGCAGTGGGCGAGAGAGGAGCTTAGTATAGCCATACGGTAGAGGCAGCCATAGCTGCCATAGCTGTTGTGAGTGTGAAGTGTGTGTGTGTGTGTACGAGTGTTCAAAGTTACGTGTGTGGGATATCCAGGGTGATCCGGTGTGTGTGAACAGTGAGTTGTTTGGGCGCTGAGTCGCCATAGCCAGTTGAAAGTGAACTCTTATCTGGATGCCATATCTCTGAGTTTTGAGTGGGCGCATGTCGCCAGTTTGCTGTGCTGCTGTTTACATGCAAGAAAAGTGCGGATGAGAACGATTGTGATTGCAGTATCTGGTCAACGTGCCAGTGAAGAGACCTGTTAAATGTTGAGTAGTTCAACGAGGCCCGTGGACTCAGATAATTAAAAAGCGAAAAAAAGTGCATCCTAAGAAACGAACATCAAGTGCGGGCAGTCAGTGTTCGCTACTACCTCAAGGCTGTTCCAAGCCGTTCGAGCCATCAAAGAGAGAAAACAAAATGGACTCATAGAATTTCAGACTTAGTGATGAAAGAAGAGACCTACAAGTCCGCAACTCCACCCACCTTAGCAGTGGAGTCCACAGCGTCCTTGGGCATGACCCTGAGAGCATCAGGGTTAACTGTTGCATACTGTAACGGTGCAGACCAGAACAAGAACTGACCTCTCTCACAAAGTACAAGATAGCGTAGCGGAAGACTTAGATACCACTGATCCGAACAATCAATATTGCAATGCAGCCCCGAACATACATCATCATCATCACTCCATGGTGTGAA